AATGGGAAGACCACAGGGCTGGTATAAATAGGAAGTCTACATGTCATTGTTCCATTAATGATCAAGTGGCAGTCACTACCACTGGGAAGGAGGCTTCAACATGTTGTCCTCATAAAAGCAGGTAATGGATATTGCATAGAATGATACTCTGGTTTTAATACTCTGGTTTTAAAAGAAAAGGCAGCTGGATTTCTTTGGAATAAAGAAAGACTGTATTTACTTTCAGCATTCTATATTTGGTCTGTCCTCTGTATCACCAGGTTATGCATTTATGGATTTAACCAAATTATTGTCTTAAAAGTGCATCTGTATTGCACATGTACAGACTTCTTCCACCTGTTATTCCCTGATCAACACAGTGTCCTGCTTCTTAGGTGGCATCCACATTGCAGTAACATAGAGAGCTAAAGTACATGGGAGGAGAACATGTGTAGTTTATATACTTTGCCTTTTCCTATAAGACTCTGGGGTGGGGGAATTCTGGACCAATCTCCAGTGCATACTGAGGAATGAGCTTGTTTTACCTCTTCCCCAAGGCCACATGTCTGCTTTCCCAACTTCTCACCTCCCTCTGTGCTTAAGTGGCATTTTCTTTGTCCTCCTATAGCATTTACTTTCTATACCATTCAATCTGATTTTAAAAACTCATTGCTAGATATTGTAACAGCCTAATAAGCACTTGAATGAATGCATGCATTTATAGTTGAATTTTAAAGGCATGGATTATAGCCAACTAGGCCCACAGAGAGGGTAAGGGAACCAATATCAATGGAGTCCATGCTTACCATGTGCTTAGTAAATACTGGGCTAAACTTTACAAATATATGATATGATTTGATCCTTAGAATAATTCAACAAATTATACATGGTCACCCTTGCTGTCTAAGAAAACTAGAAACTGATACTCAGGGTTCTCAATGTAATATTGAGAACAGCTACTTGTTTGAAAACCCAAATGGAATGAGCACTCAGGATATATCAGACAATGTAAAAATACTCCACACGCACACACACAAATGCATATCACACAGCACATGTGTCACTTACCAAATGTGAACAGATAGGTTGGGGATGTCTGAAGAGGCTGAAGCTGGTCCTTATTCAATGTATTTCTAGGAGCTGAGAGACCACCAAGGCCATGTGACCACCTGAATGTGGGATGAGGGGTAGGAAGGGCAGACTAAAGACAGGTCATTTAAGAGATTGTTGGAGGGGCTGGCGATGTGGCTCAAGCGGTAGTGTGCTCGCCTGGCATGCACGGGGTACTGGGTTCGATCCTCAGCACCACATTAAAAAAATAAAGTAAAATAAAGATGTTGTGTCCTCCAAAAACTAAAAATTAATATTAAAAAAGTCTCTCTCTCTCTCTCTCTCTCAAAAAAAAAAAAAGAGAGATTGTTGGAATAGTTCAAGCAAGTGGCAATAAGCCCCAGGACCAGGAAGGTGACAGTGGAACACAGTTGGATGAGGGTGAAGAGTTGTAAGAGGAGGTGTGAAGCCAGTGGTGAAGGAAGCGACCCCACAGACAGGTGTGAGGACCGAGGAGGACAGAGGCACCCATAGTCCATTGCAGCCTCTGGGTGCCTACCAGGACAATGGCGCCATTTTTAGCCATTGTGAGACTCAAGAAAGAGCTAGTTTGGGAAGAGACATGGAGACTTCATGTCTACTGCATTGCATTCATAGTTCAGCAGATGTGGAGCATTCCAGAATCTGGAACCCAGGGGAGAGAGTTGGCCGGCTTGGACCCTTGTGCCTACAGGCAGAAGGCTGAATGTTAGAGCACAGGGGTGAGGAGGAGCTCTGGAGGTGGGGCATGAGGGTTCAGAAGGAAAGGGGGGGAGTGTGGCCTTTAGAGGAACACCAAGAAGTGGCAGCAGGGGAGCAGAAGCATTCTGAAAGTTGGCAGGAGTATGGGGACTGGACTGTGTCATCAGGACTCAGTTCCTTGGGTTCCAATGAGGCACCATAGGCCTTGGAGTGGGAGATTGTCACAGGAACCAGACAAGGACAAGAGACCAAGAGGAGGGTGGAACCTGTGACAAGTGCGTGAAGCCATGAAGGAAGGTTCTGGTTGGGAAAGGCAGCGGTCAGCGCTGAGCGCTCTTTCCAGACGTCCAGGGGTGAGGTGAACGTCTGGAAAGAGTGTCAAGAATGTAGCAGTGGAGGGTGTGGTGAGGGCTGCTTTGCTTCAAGATGAGGAATGTCAGAGCATTTGTCAATCCTCGGGAAACCTCCGAGCAGGGGAGAAAGAGAGAAGATACAGGGGAGAGGGGGGAATTACCCCAGTAGGTGGCAGAGCAAGCATAAAGACGGGCACAGAGGGCATGGGCAGGGACAACCCTGGTGAGTGTAAGCCAGTGCAGAGCAGAACACTAGGGCAGGAGGAAACGGAAGTTTCTCATCTAAGTTCCCGTGGACCCAGTGAAGGAAGGGTCCAGAATTTCTGCCAATAGTAATAGTCTAGGATTAGAGTTAGGCTAGCTTGAGAAGGCCAGCGGGAAACTCCATGTGTTTCTGGTTTCGTGGGGTTACGAGAAGGTGATGGTGCGGTGACATGGAACCCAAACTGAATTGGGCCTCGCACGTGGCCTGGTACGCGGCAGCGCTCTGTAGATGCACAGGTATTGCATCTACGTGTTGCTTTTTAACAGTGTTTGATTTTGGCTTTTCTTGTCTCTAATTTTTCTTTCTTTACTCTCTAGATGCTAACATAAGAAGAGGAAAATTATTTCTGAAAAATCTGTGGTGTGCTGTGATTTCGTATTTGAATTACCCTACATGCTGCAGGGAAGGCATTCAGAAATTCCCTGAGTTCCCTTTATCAAGGGGGCTATGTGACTCAAAAATTCACATGTTCCAAAAAACTTGTATGCCATCTCTGGTGTGAGGTTGCCATGTTGCTGATTTCAGGGGCCAGTGTCCTGGCTTGCGTGGTTAGTACTCAGTGCTCTTCAGTGGACTTGGGCACCTTTGTCTCCTGGTGAGGCTTGCTCCCTGTCTCTCCCTTCCTCCACCCCAACTCTAATTTCCTGCGTTTCCAGGAAGAACTGACCATGAATTTATTACTGGCGTTAAGAATCGCACTGTGTCAGCATGTGGATCTCTCTCTAGGCTTATCAAAAGAAAACAGCTTTTATTCTTAATGCCAGGGAAAGATTGGGATTGGGGAAAAAGGGAAGTTTGGGCCAGTGTGGAGGGAGGAGAGATAAGAGTAATAGAAAGTCAGGAGGGAGGCTGAGAAAGGACACAGGGGAGGGTGAGGAGGTGGGGAGAGGCCAAGCGCTTTGAGGGTTGAGAGGCAGATGCAGAAGGGAGACAGGAGTGGAGAAGAAAAGGCCAGGGGAAGGTCTGGTGAGGGTCAAGGACAAGTGGAAAAGGGAGGAAGGGAGGCGTGTTTTCAACCGCGTGCAGCAATCCTGCCCCGTGACATGCATTTTTACTACTGAGGAACCCCAGCAGACCAGGTCTGCGAAGATAGGAGACAGTCTGTTGGATGTTTAATGATTTATAACAAGTACACGGGAACGCCATTAAAAGCTAATTCATCACCGACAGGCTAAATGATTTGCAAACATCTGCTCTGCAGCAAGGCCCCTCTTGGGAAGAGAATTTTCAAGGGTTGAGCTCTTCTGATGTGGATGTTGCACATGGGAGTGAAGACACAGGCACCAGCATTGGGGTCGCCAGCTCTCCAGCCGGAGTGATTGATTAGGGGGTGCTACAGGGCACCCTCCTGACATACCATCTCCACGCACTGAGACATTCTCCACAGCTGGCTGCTGAATGGCTAGACATGCAGATTAGGATATGGCCGTCCCAACCCTGCAGGTTCAGTTCTCTGAAATGACTAAGTTTCTTAAAAATGATAGGTAGCCACCTTTAAATCTGCTGATGTGACCTTCTATCAGGTAGTAAATCCCAGCACAAATGAGTTCCCAGCCTAAATGTGTTCACTTCATACTTCACACTTGGCAGTGACCCATGTTCTTCCAGGACTTGGCCTTTTTACTTATCTCATCCTCCAGGCAATTTCACTGCAGAGAATCCTTAAATTTAGCATTCAAGGTAAAAACTGAAATCTGTTCATATTTTGCCCCGTGTTACCCTGTGCTTACCTCTGCGTTAACCTGCGGGCATGGTAAATGGTTTTCGACACACTTATAGCTTCCCATATGTTGTGTGTTGAATTCCCACACGTCAAAGAAGATGTGCAGAAGTTCTGACTCCCAAGAACCACAGAAGGTGACCTTATTTGGAAATGTGGTTTCTGAAGATGTTATTAGTTAATAGGAGGTCATATTGGAGCAGATGTTCACCCTGCTCCAGTATTTTTGTGTCCTTATAAGAAGAGAGACACAAGGAGAGGAGATAGACACATGATGCTAGACACAGAGATTGGATCAATGCATCTAGAAGCCAAAGAGTTGCAAGGATTCCAGCAAATATCAGAAGCTGGAGGAGCCAGGGAAGGACTCTCCACTCAGGTTTTAGAGGAAGCACGGAACTGGTATGGTATTCAGGCATCTGGAACGGAACTATGGCCTCGCGCATTCCTGGTGTTTTAGGACACAGCAATGTGGTAATTTGCTAGGGAAGCCCTGGGGAATTGTCCTGCTCTGCTTAAAGGCATTTCTTATATCATAGGAGCCTGCTCGGCCAGCATAGGCCCAACCTGTGTGAGAAGAACTTGTGAAAGGATGATGAGAGGCCGATGAAGAACTGGCCCTAACACCCATGGTTGGCAGGGATGTACCTGAAGTGGTTTCTAATGTTCTCATTTGCCCACTTTTCCCTGTGGAATACATTGAGATTTGCTCACTTGGTCTACTTCAACACAGTGGTAGATTGTCGGGGTTTTTAGCCTCCCATTTCCTCCTGACCTGCGGGAGAGATGGGATTAGGCCCGCCCGACCAGGACAAGCCAAGAAAGACAAAGGTCGACTGGCCACCTGCACCCAGCCCTCCCCCGCCGGAGGACAATCAGATGCGCCAGGGAGAACAGTCAAAGCAGGATCTCGTTTAATGAGAAAACACACACAGCTAATATAATATACAGGAGCCAATCAGGGTAAAGGTCAGCAGGGTGGGGAGGGTTCACGAATACACCCATCCTACAGGCCATAATGGGAAACACGAGCTGTCCGTGAGGGCAGAAGGGTTCTGAGTCTATCCTAGAGGTGGTCCGATTTCCGTCACAACCCAGAGCAATGCCTTCTGGCTGATTGCCAGGCGCTGTCTTAGCCACATGTGGCCCCAGGACTGGGAAGCCGGTCACAGCCAGCAAGTTTCCTCTTTTCGGATGCAGCATGTCCCATGTTACATCATGCCCTACCGTAGATCACATATGTCCACAAGTCCTTTGCTACTCCTCCCATTAGAAGCCACCCTGGGATTCATCTCTGCAACCTTGGCCACCTGTGGACATGTTCATGTCATTGGTTTCCATAACTGGAGCCAAAATCTCTTTTCCTCTTATTCTGGGTAGTAGTTTGGGTGTAAGGTGTTCCCCTGAAGCTCATCTGTGAGACAATGAAAAAAAGGTTCAGAGGAGAAACGATTGGGTTGTACAACTCTTAAGCAAACCAGTGATTTAATCCCCTGATTAGGATTAACCGAGTGGTAGCTGAAGAGGTCAGGTGTGGCTGGAGGAGGTGGGACTTTGGGGGTGTGGCTTTGGGGTGCACTTCTGTATCTGGCGAGTGGAGTCTCTCTGTAGCTGATCACGATGATGTGAGCTGCTTCCCTGTGCCTCCCTTCCCACCATCATGTTCAGCCTCAGCTCGGGCCCCAAGGAATGGAGCCAGCCTCTGAAACTGTGAGCTCTCAAATAAACATTTCTTCCTCTACAATTGTTGTTAGAGTCTGTAAACAAGTCAGGATGGCGCCTGGCATTTTGCCCGGGGGGAGTGGTTTGTGAAGTAACGCCAGCGAGCCATTAAGTGTGGAGATTCCTTATTGGTTGGCTGCTGTATCTAGTTTATGCTAATTAAGATAAGCTGTGTGGAATGTATATATACCCCTCCAGTCCTACAATAAACGGCTCCTACTCCTGCTGTATCAGTCTACAGAAGTTACTCGTCACCCCCCCGCCCCCACCCCGGTTATTTTGCTGCAGCGGGACTGCGGCAATTGTTCTGGTCAGATCTTTTAGCCAGAGCAGCGAAATAGCTGACTAAATCATTCTAGATGATTTCTTTGTCTCCTTCAAGGATCAACTCTCACCCTTTAATATCCCTGAAGCCTTCTGCAGTAAGCTCAGCCCACTGATGCTCTGAGAGTGCCTGAGATTTGGTGGACTGTGGAATTCTACTGGGTGAGAGCAGTTTGGCGATTCAGAAATAATCGCAGTCAACATCCTTCATTGTACAGATGACGAAACTGAGTCTCAAAGGTAGTGCAGTTGGCCAAAGTTCATGGAGATACAGAACAGTGGTTAAGAGGTTGCATTGAATCCTGGCCCTGCTTCTCCGGGGGCTGCGTGCCTTGAGCAAGTTCCCCAGTTCTCTATGCTCCCGTTTTTTATGTTTTTTTTTTACAGTGGTATAAAATTTATTAATATGTCAAAATGAACCCACGATTATGTACAACTATAATGCATTAATAAAGACATTTAAGGAAAGGATAGGGAAAACAATACCAAAAGAGAATAAGCATCATTTTCATAGGGTTGTTAATAGACTGTGAGAGAATAATGCACAATGACACCTAACACAGTGCCTGGTGGATGGTGAGTTCTAAATAAAAACTACTTGTTAATCATTTATTGACTGCAGGTACCAGTCTGGGTACTGATGGTACAAACAGAATTAAGGAGGCAAAATCCTGGTCTTCATGTAGCTTATATTCTAGTAGGAGAGAAACCATCCTCTACAAACACAAAAACACGTATGATAGAATCTCAGCTAGGGAAAATGATTGGGATAAATAATTAGGCAGGACAAAGAGAGAGATGATGTGCTATCTGCTAGGCTACCCAGAGAAGGTGACTTTGAGAAGGTCACGTTTGGCCACAGTCAGGAATGGAGGCAGCATCACTGCCTTCGTCTCCATCATCACCAGCCTTATCACAGCCTGGATCGATCACAAGGGAGCCCTCTCACAGTGACATCATGCTGCCTCCCAGTGACTGAGCAGAGAAAGCATTTACGAGTGACAAAGAAATAAAACAAGTCAAAGAATACAGCCAGAGTTTCCTTCCTCAATGCATGAATAAGGAAAAGCTTTGAAAGTGATAAGCACAAATAAGTCCTTTTCTAAGATTATACAAAGCAGCAATGTTTGGAAAGTGGCCATTTCTGATCCTCCAGCCTTGGTGGCCTGCAGATGCCAGTGCAGTTTTCTCCTTCCTGAGCAAATGTGTGTGGGGTCTCCAAAGGCAGAGGTCTCTGGAGAACAATTCACCCAGTGCATGGATAGCACCGGCCCAGAAATGGTGAGCATGGGGTTTGGAAGAAGAGAATTAAACTGAATCCAACTTATACCCCTCATTGACTGTGTGACTTGAGTAAGGAAAAAAAAAAAAAAAAAAAAAATATATATATATATATATATATATATATATATATATATATATACCAAACTGCTGAAGGAGAGCACCACAGAGACACAGAGACAGGTCTGACAGCCCCAGAGGCTCCAAGCCTAGGGTGCGGACGCTCAGCAGATGAGTGGATGAACGATTGAATTCACCTATGCCTCCAAATGTCAATTTCCATGTTGTTAAAATGGGAATGACAATATATTAGGTTTTCATGAGTTAAATGAGATAATGATTATAGAACAGTGCAGTGCCTGGCAGATAGTAATCCTGGCTTTATCTTTCAGAGTTTGCAGAAGGAATGCCGTTATGACTGGACGAAGACTATCTATGCTAGTGGAAGAATGGAAACAGGAGGGCTCAGGGAAGGAAGGTCTTTGGAAATATAAAATTAAATGCAAACCTGGCCAGAAAGACTCAGTCTGAAGGGTTCAAGGAAGATCTCTGGAATCTTCAGGTGGAAGATGGAGCTCCGATGGCCTTTAGCAAGCCTTGCTTATACATGCCAGAAGCTGTCTCATGTGTTCTTGTCTGTGGTTTACTTTAAAATATCAACTTTGTCATGTGGGTGTGGTTATGGCCAAGCTCATAGGACAGAGGCAGGGTTTGAACCAGGTCTCTGACTGGGAAGATTTGAAAGTGTGTTGACTTGCAAAGTAGATCTGTTTTCGTGCCTGTCTTCCAGGGTCAGTACCATTTTGTGGATTTAGCCAGGATTCTAGGCATCTTTATTCAATTCTGAGTTCTTTTATCAACAAACTGCCCATAGGATTTTTCTCACTCAACAATTATAAAAAACAATGGTGTACATCTCCCTCAGTACTCTTCAGGGAACCTAGCAAAGACAGTAAAGCATACGTAAAGACAAATACTAAAATATAACATTACTATTATAAAATAGAGGTCAAGATTCATGTACCTAGTGGTTTTTAAAGAGCATTGAAAGGTGATTTTTATAATTTGTTTTTCTCATCCACAGACCTATGTACACAAATTTGAGACTTTCCAGAACCTACCATTCAGCTGTAATAACTCAATGTTTATCAATAATCAATAAATCCTTATTAGGCCCTGATAGGATTTATTGCTTATTTCTGTACCAATGACAAGGAGTCACTGGGTATTTCTATGAGAAGGGGAGAAGACCAGCTGGAGAGGTAGGTGGGGTGACTGGGGTCCTGTGCTGCTAAGGGCCAGCCAGAGTCCAGCCAGAGCTTTCTCAGCCCTTGGCACCCTGGCTACCAAACTCTCTGGGTTGCCTTGCCAGCTCATCTTAGGCGCAGGGGGCTTACTTAATTGGAACAATTATTGGTAATGCATTTTTACATGATCTCATTAGCTGTATTGTCCCAAAGCATAGATTCTGAATGCAGATACGAGGAACAATAGCCTGTTTTAATTTGTGGAAATTATATTTAGAGAAAATAAAGCATGAGCCCTTTAAGGGCATATTGATCTGAATGTTTTGTGAAATTATAGGGCTTTGCGTAGGTGACCATGTTAATTGGACTATGAGAGGTGGAGGACTTAATCAATGGAGTCTGTAACTGAGTGGCTAAGATAGTTCTCTACCTATTAGAAAATAGAAAAACTCTGTGAACACACTATAAGAATGGAAGACATGTATTCTCCTTAACTCTTCTCCCTCCCCATCCTGCTCTGTGTCCTGGGAAGCTGACTCCTAGGACGACTCCAAAGGACCGCTTCACCCTCCCTCCCTCTCCTTTCTGCTTTGGGTTGGGTTTAGCCAACAGGAAGCACCAGCAAGAAGATATAGAGTTTGGAGCTACAGCTGAGTGTTCCTGCCTAGGGCTACAACTGTGGTCAGGCATTGGCCCCTGCAGATTTAGGACTCTTACAGCCATAGATCTAGTAGGTCCAATAGTTATAGATCTATAGCTCAATAACCTGTCCTTTCCCACCACCTGCTTCCTCAGGCTTAGGGTGGCAAGCACCCATGTCTAATCCAAGGTGCTTCATGATTCTTTGCTGGTTTTCCTACTCCCGACCAGTGGAGACCAAAGGCTCTCCATTCTCCCTGGGGAGTGTGGCAGCCGCTTCCTGCTGGGAATAAGTCATGGTGGGAGAGGAGAGAGGCAAAAGTGTCTTGCCTCAATTATATATGCTCCAATCTAGAAAAGCACTCTCCTAAAATTAGGACAAATAGGTAGTCGGAATTAAAGGCACACGGCAGATAGGGGAGCCTGTTCCACCCATTCAGACGCATTGGTGATGGACTGAGGTATCCACACGAGGCAGGGCTTCCATCAACAGGCTCAGTGAAAAAGACAGCAGGAAGAATGTCCACAAGGACTTCAGTGCTCGAGCAGCCCATAATCCGTCAGAGACTATCGATGGCCTTGGGGCACAGAGCTCTTTAATCTCAGAGCACAGGAAATTAGAGGGAGTTATAAATAACCCTTGAAGATAGAAAGGCAGCCAAGGATTTGGTTAAATAGTGATTGAAAACACAGGGAAAAAAATCATAGTTACTCCTATTTTTTAATCTCCTTTTTATGTATCTTCTTACAAGTTATTTTTGTTTGATAAAATATTCTGATGGGATTTTAATAAATATTAAAAAGAGACACTCAGTAGTTTCTGTGGCTTTTTTTCCATGTGTTACTAGTCAAGAATGAACTATATGTCCAGCAGCCTCTTTTTACCTATTTTGGGTAAGAGAAACAAGAGAGATGCTTGTGCAAGATTTGCAGGCAAGGTGATCATGCGTCTCGGTTTCCCCCAAATGCTGGAATTTCCCTGGCATAGGACTCTCACTGTTAAAGCCAGGACAGTCCTGAGCAAGCAGGGTCTGTTGGTGACACCATCTGAGTGTGGAAGAGAAGTCTCAGCTCATGGGTTGTCACTCACCTGCTGGCTCATTTTGATAGTGCAGGGCAGTCGCAGGGACATGTGTCTGCTCCACCTGCCCATGTCTGCTGCTTCCTCCAGCTCCTGATTCCCAGGCTGGACATCGGGGAGGGGGTCCACTGCTCCTCCAGACACAGTGCAGTTGAGATCTGTCAGCCTGCCCTCGAGGTCCTGGTGCGTCTTTTCTCTTGCTCTCTTTACCTCTATCTCTCCTTCCTGAATGGACTGTCTGCCATATGGACCTCAAGCTTTTAAGTCACTTCCTGAAACAACAGCATTATCAGCACCTGCAATTGCATGAAGTTGAATTTCTACAATTCCCTTTTAAGTGTGTGCGTCTATGCATGGACCCCTGTGTCTGCTTCTCTGATTAAACTCCAACTGACACCATTTAATTTCCTAAATTTCAGAAAAATCGCAATTCTCTTAATTAGAAAACTCGCTAAGTTCGTAGGAAAGAGCCTCACCTCCTGGCCCACACAAATCATGCACAAGCACCATGTCTCCTTTTGGCAACTTCCAGATTTGCCATGTGGCTGGAAAGCAAATGTGTGCTTGATTTTAAGAACAACATCACAATAGATGGCTCTTGGGTTGCAAAGAGGACTGGAGTCCAGTATGGGTCATTCCACTGTTCAAAATGTGGGATTTCCTAAGAATCAACAGACAGAATCCTTGAATGTGAACGGCGGGGTCCCTAAGATCCTGCCCTCTATGTCTGCCACACCCCATCTTTCCACTTCTGTCCTCATTTTATGCTTCAATGACACAAACTGATTTATTATTCTTCCTGTGCCTGTGACTGATTCTCTGGGTGATGTTAGGCCAACAAACACCAAGGCGCTGTCTGGCCCTTAGTTGCAGGATCTGTACAATAATCATGTGTAACACAGGCTGTTCTGTCTCCTGCCTTGTTTTTCCCCACCCCACAGACCTGATACACTGGCTTCAGGCCCCCCTGACTTCTCCAGGTCCACTGAGGACCATTTCCTGTGGCCACCTCAGAAGGTCCCCTACATCATCTCTACCATTACTACTAACTAATAAGAAGAATTATAGTAATGATAATGAAATAGAACAAGTGCTATTTACTACCTTGAACATGGTTAAACTCTTCAGGTCAGGAAACTATATAAACTTTGTCCCCAGAAGCTCCTAGTGCCTGTAGTGTGGTCATTACCATTTTACAGCTAAAGAGAACTGAGGTTCAGAGAAGTTAAGCAACTTGTCTAAGGCTCCAGAGACTCATGAGTATATGCCTGTGATCTGAATGCAGTGTGACTCCAGAGATCCAGCAACAACCCTTACTGTCAAATTTGGATCGTATCCATCAGCCACAATGCCCCGTTCTGGTCTGCTTACATGTCCATATTTAAGTAGGTTGAAAGTTCTGGAAGGAAGCAAGGGACCATGGACATTGATTTTTATTTTGCACCTTTTAACATTGTGTGTGGCCCAGCGCAGGTGCTTAACAAAAGTTTTGCAGAAAAATACATGAATGGAAAGAGGGGTGGATGGATGACTGAAATCACCACGGGATCACCTTGGGCTCCCAGACCCAGATCTTCAATGCCACAGCAAAGCCGGGCATTGTTCAATGGAAAAGGAAACACAAGGAGTTTGTGTTCAACACAACACCCAACATTGCAGATATTAAAGAAAGAGGTGAATATTCTGGAGCTTCTTCCTCTTTCATTTAATATTTCTTGGCCCCAAGCAACTCTCTGTTTTTACACATAATGCAAAGTCCATGCTGACTTCCACAATTAACCTACTGCTTTTAGCTAGGTGTTGTGTAAAAATGCAAGGAGGAAGCACACACTGGGGGCTTCCACTTTTCTCATTGTTGCCTCAGTCTCACTGAAACTTGGGAAGCAAATTATCTGCCTTTTCTATCAAACAACAAAACATTTGCCCAATTAATCTCTGCCCTGGGTTTTGCTTTTCTTAGTCTAAATCCATGTCATTATGCATCTTTCAAATCCTGAAAATGCAATAAAAACAGAGACTAAAGTGTATTTCAGCCCTCATTGATCAACCTAATGATTCTAAATGTATTGGATATAAAATAGATGTTCTAATTTTGCTTACTCTTCATTTTTTCCACACAAACAGAGAAAACCCACAGTGCCTCAGGGGAACAGAAATTCTGCATCTCTCTGCACTTGAAACACATAATGAGTTTGAGCCAATGGCTCCATGCTGCCTGGCTGGTGAGAACACTCAGTCCCTGTGCTCTGCATCGAGTGTTCAAGAGACAGTGTTGGGGCCAGAGCCCAGGGCCAGCCAATTAGGAGCCAGTAGTAATGAGCCTGTGATTTTGGTTTACTCTCCAAATAAATTATTTTTAGTACTTTGTTTGTTGTCCCAGACATCAACCATTAACCAACTGTTTGCAAACTGCTGGTCATGCAGTGTGCTGGAAGAGAGCACTATAGTAGGAGTCACAATCTCTGTTTTCCAGAATTTACTCTGCCACTAAATCGCCAGGTACCATTGAAAAAAGTCATCTATTTTTCGGAGTAACTTCATATTTCCATCTATAGCAAAAATGGGTAAATAAACATAGACAATGAGAACTTAAAAAATGGATCCTCTGTGTAAGGCTGGGGAGCTGGCCTAGCTAAATGTTTCATGCACTGTGGTTCATGGATTTACTGGGATCTGGAAACCTATCCTGGGAGTAAAGTGTTCCGTGAAATTCCACGTTTTAATTTAGATGAGTATTTTTGAAGAGAAGAGAGTGATGCGTCTGTCATTCGTGTGACTGACAATCAAGGTCTTCTTGTGATTCTGGCCTACAGTCACCATTTGTCTTAACTATCTTAAGTGAATACCTGAAGATGCCGAAGTTCGGATTTTAATGTTATACTTTGCTTAAAGGTCCATAGAAATCCTAGCATGCATCCTAGGCATAGAAGGAGTGGCCTAGGAAGCATGTCTCTCTCTACTATTAGAGATTATCTGAAATACTTTAGAGAGGCTGATTGATCCATCCATTCCTTCCTGCCTCCACGTTTATCATGTGTTCTAGCACACCCACGGCAAGCCAGACACTGCCAGCCACGGAGGTGAGCAGCATGAAGAAGAGTCTCCTGGAGCTCCGGGAACTTCACAGCCTGGTGGGGGACACACACATATCCATAGGGACTTATAGACTATTTCTAATCTCTTCATTCATCCCAAATTTATAGAGACTTGTCCAGAGCTGGAGTGACTTGAGCAATGTCCTCACTCATGTTCAAAGTTTGTTATGAGCATGAAATGAGATATTCTCAGTGAAATGGCCTTGAAAATGAAAGGGTTTGTGCTTCCCAGGCAAGAACGACTTCCACTAAATATTTTTATTTGTTAGCCTACATCTTTCCATAAAAGGACTTAAAGGAGTTTGCAGCCAAAGCCATATAATAAAAATAGTACTGATAAAACCAGGAAAGGGAGGGAAAGGAATCACATTTGATCAGTCGACTGGGAAATAAGGTGTAGGTATTGCCACCTGCCTCAGACTTGGAGTCCTACAACCTGGGTCTCACCCCAGCACCAGGAAGTCCACCTCAGGATTCAAGGCTAGCTTCCCTACCCTCTAAGCCTCAGTTTTCCTGTTGTCTGTGAATCAAATCATTTCTACTTCAGAGGACCTATGAGAATTAGGTGTATGTAGATATGAATACTCCAAGGAGACTTCCTGTTTCTGGTTTCACACACCCAGAATTTGGATGCTGTCATTCCAGTTAACAAGAAGGAAAAAGTTGAACAACTGAAAATTCCACAGTTCTTCTTGGATCTGTAACAGAGATAGGACACAGGGGAAACCAATGCCCCCGAGGTTGGAAATAGGCAGATGGGTGCAGGGAGGCTTGGCTCAGGGAGGCTGACCCGCCAGCAGACACCTCCTCGGGAATCAGTGCTGGGCAGGAAAGCCTGGACTGACACCAACGGATTGCCCAGGGCTCAGGGTGGACACATCTGGTGGGCGGAAAGGCTAGGGCAACCTGTCGCATGGGGGAGTCAGCCCTTGGGAGTTTTACTTCCAGGAGTTCTCCCAGGTCCTCATGGTAAATATTGCAGTGGAAACTCTGTGCCTCCAGAGGGGTGAGCAAAAGGGGGGACTTGAAAAGTGTTGTGTTCTTTTAAAAAATATATTTTTAGTTGTAAATGGACACAATACCTTCATTTTATTTATTTTTATGTGGTGCTGAGGATCAAACCCAGTGCCTCACACATGGTAGGTGAACACTCTGTCACTAAGCTACACCCCAGCCCTGTGCTGTGCTCTTTACAAGGTCTGACCTAGAGAGTCCAGGTGACTGACAACCGCCGCCCCCGTAGCCATCCCATCCAATCCATGCAGAGAAAGAACCAAGAAACGGTGACAGAGAGTCCATGGCGCAGGCTCACTGCAGGTCTGAGGACTTCTCCCAGGACTGATGGGTTCCTCCTCTCCCCACACCTTGCAGCCTCTTGTTGGAGGTCTATTTACAGTAATTCCATCTATCTATATCTATATCTACATCTATACCTACATCTACTTATATATAAGTAAAACGAATTAAAGCAATGAATCAGGGACAGGAGGGAAGAGTGAAGATTAGTTTGTTATTACAAAGAACATACCTGTGAAGAGAAAGAGAGAACTTGGATCATGTTGCATGTTGCAAACTCTAGGACAATCACACACACAAACGTGGAGAGAGAAGGATAAACAATATGCTAAGAAAGGTGAGAAAATGAAATCATGTAACACTAAAATCAAACCACAAAAGGCAGAAAACAGCAGTGAATATCTGTCACAAATTGTAGCACACCCTTTTGTCTTCTCGTTCCTGGCTCAGATGGTATTCTGTGGGCTGGCCCTCTGCCTCTGTCTTGCTCACACTCTAATCCCAGACCTCTGTAGCCCTGGTTCTTTATAGGTGGGCTCCAAACCCTGCCAAGAAGATAGGATGAACCCCTCAGAATTATTTTGATGTAAATACAAATGAGTGAATGAACAAATGAAGAGATACATGAATGTCCTCATTTCACACAGGGAAAAATTGTGCGTCGTTGCTGTTGATGGGGGTCCGATAGGGTTCAGTTCTGAGATGCCCTCCCACCTTGTTCCCACCATTCCTGTCCACCTACCTGGCCCTGCAACTGCTCAGGCCCAGAGGCCATCCTGCTGTTCTTTTCCCTCCACCCCCGCTAAACATGGAGTTGACTCACAGAGGTTTGAAAATTCTCCTCTTCTTACTTCTTGCCTGGTATTTTCATA